TTTTTTTTTTTTTTTTTTTTCGTGCGACAACCAGGGTTTTTCATACTATTCACATTATGGAAGATATCATGGGAATTTCTGCCCCTGAATAAACCTCCCTTTAGATTGTAAACTTCTTGCTTTTGATTCATTAGCTTAAGGTCTGAACTGTAGCAAGTGCCCGCCTGGCGTTTCCAAAACAAACCTCCATAATTGTGTCTTTTACCAATACATACGTGAGTGTTATTTCTGAATGAATGGCTGGCCATCAACAGCCTTGTTGCATGCCTTGGCTCTGCAAGAAGGATAGCACGGAGATGACGAAATAGCATCGTCATTAAGGGCACAGCCTCTAGATCTAAGCGTGTGGGTCTCCCTCCTCACCCCTTTCCCTAGTAACCTTCAGATCTGGCACGAGTCCCTTGTCTCGTGTTTCTTTGCTTTCAGGTTTCCACAGTGGTGCTAATGGCAGACTGGAGGGTGTTCTAGTGTTAAGTAAGGGAGGCGAGTTACACTGAACAGGGTCTGCTACAAGAAGACTCAGTAAATATTCTCTATTGCAGATACGATTATGCGGTTGAAAGCTCCAGAATATAACGTTCATGAAGGGAGGGGTCCATGTGCAGCCAACTGCTCCCTTCTGCTCCTAGGCTATACCAGCAGCTCCCAGGAGGTTTCAAATAAAAATTTAATTGACTGAATAAGGCCAGAAGTTTATTGTAGTGAAATTCCGTGTTTCCATCAGTCTGAAAAGTATAATGGTGAGGGCACACCTGCACGCACTCAGAAATAGCCTTTCTATGAAATATAAACTTCAGAATAATACACAAGGAGGTGTTTTTTCCATTAGAAAAGATTATTTCCATTTAAAGTGCTCTCCATTCGACTGCCTGAACTTAAATATTTAAGCTACTTAAAATAGTTATAAAAATGTATTTGTAATTGTTCAGAAGTGCGGGTAAAGGGAGGTATCCCTCTACTGATGTGTGACCCTTGACGAGCCCTCCCTACCTGAGGAAACTCTGCTTTTGTATATGTAAGAGATTCGTTCTGATGATATTTGCTAAGATTGTCGAAAACATACTGCTCTATGCCATGCTCTGTAAATGTCTATTTTAAGGTTTCTGTGTATGAGCTTTTAATCTGGCCTGATACATGCTTGTTTCATGGCTGCTTTACAGTCCCACAATGTGAAATCAAATGTCCATTAATTCCACCCATTCACATGCACTCGTGCAGCTGGACTGTTATTTAATGATAGTGTTTTGTTTTACCATGGTAGAGTAGCAGTGGCAGTTCCAGGAACATTTCTACTATGCTAAATTCAGATTTAAATGTGCCGTGGGTTTTTTTTTTTTTTTCCATCCCCTGTGCAGTGTTGCAGACCTTCGCATGAAGATCCTGAGTGACACTTACCAAAGACAGTTCTCGCTGGTACAGACTCTCTGTTGAGCCAGAAGGAAACTTGTGAGAGAATAACCGTCATTATGCAAGGCAGATATGTTTGAATCACAAAATAGCCAATCTTCCTCTTCAAGTGGAAGTGAGTAGTCATAACAACGTACTCTCCTGGAGGGCAAAGCAGATAGTAAGTTTGAGCAATTGGACCTTGAAAAGATATTTCTGAGGTTTTCCATTAGCAGCAAAGTCCTGGAGGTTAGACACATCCTTCTTTCTTCATGTGACATCCAGTCCCTAGAGGGAAAAGCTTTTACCCAAGAAAGATAAGAAACATTTCTAACACATACCACAATGGCTCTAAGGCTAAGAAAGAGGTACTAGTGTCCTTATGGATATTCTTACCACTGAATGCTGCTACATCATATATTTAAGTGACAAATCTGAGCATATATGCACATTTTCAGAATGATCAGGAAGGCGGTGAGCTGGATTCTATGACCTACATGGGTATTCTACAGACTCACTAGATCTCCCTCCAGCCTGACCAGTGCAAAACAGATTCAGGATGTTTACTGAAGTCTTTGGTATGCAAGTCAGGGCAGCTGGATTCTAGTTCCAACACTTCTTTGAACTTCAGATGAGAAATTTAGCTTGATCTGATTTACGAAATGAGGAATGGCCTAGAAGCCATTATTTCTCATCATTTGTTTCCCAAAACCACCTGGTAAATTTTTGAAGGGTGCAATTTTTAAAATCCTATGCAGAATACAAATTATTGTTTGAATTGCCAAGGAAATCTATATTTATATTCAGTTTTTTTCCATTTTTTCATTTAAATTTTCTTTCTTTCTTTCTTTTCTTTTCTTTTTTTTTTTTTCTTCTTGCCTGCAATTCTGGGGATTGAACTTCCTGCTTCACATAAGGGAGAAAAGTATTCTACCACTATCTCAGAGCTACATACCCCGTCCCTATACATGCGTTTAACAGTCTTTCTCTACTTGAAATCCTGGCTTCATTTAGAGATCTGATCTGCAGCAGTAGATACACAACCCAAATGGCAAAGGAAGAGTTTTATGTTTCTTCATGCAGTATTTTTTCATTTTTAAATCTTAGCCTGGTTTACTCAGGAGATGTTCTTAGTTCTCTGTGAGTGAGTAGGGAAAAGTTGGCATGTTGTCCACAAGGAAGGGTTACCCTATTTAGAAGTCTATCTACCTTTTCCTTCTTTCCCTCTCCGAAGATCACCGATCTTCACTTATGCTTTTTTTCTCAAGCCAGAGACATCTGACTTCAGTTCATGTTGCTAGAACAGCAACTCAGACCCTCTTAATCTCAGTAACCAAGCCCTGTATCTCAATCTGGCTGCTTATCTTCACGCTATTAAATGAATAGTGACTGTTCCTACTACTCCTACATTTTTTTCTTTTGCAGTGGTATGTGTGAACCCAGGGCCTCTCCTCACTGAGTTTTACCCCTATTTCATTTTATTTATTTATTTCTGTATTTAAAGAGAAACTCTTGTTAAATTGCCCAGGCTACACACAAATTTTTGGTTCTCCTACCTTATTCTCCCTTGGTGCTGGGATTTTAGAGATGTGTAGCAGCACTCAGAGACCCTAACTTCCTTTTTCTTTTATTTATTTATTCTTAATAGTGTTAGGGAATGAACTGAGGGCCTTCCCAAGGAAATACTTATTGAAAGTAGTATGTACATATATATGTATGTATGTATGTATGTATGTATTATTTTGAGACAGCATTTTGTAAAGTGAGATGTGGTGTTGTCCACAGCTTTCGTCCTGACTCCCACAGGAAGCTCTCCCTCTCACCCCTGCTCCTATGGCGATCTTTAAGCACGTGTACAGACAGAGACCAAATCCACATCATATGCAACCTGGTCCTCAAAACAGAGACTTATGTTCTAGACCTAAGCTAGAATTTGCTGCATTTCCACATTTAGACCAGACTGTTATCTATCTAATCGACATTTATTTTTCATAGGTAGTATCAGCTATGTTTACAATTCACATAACTAACTTTTCCTAAGAAGAATGAACAGCATGGAGTCAAGAGTGGCAACACATACTTGTATCATTGGTTCTCCGGAAAGCTGAGGCACAAGGATTGCAAATTTAGCCTGGGCATTTGAGTGACTTGCTGAGATTCTATCTCAAAAGTAAAACATTAAAAAAAAAAAAGAGAGAGAGAGTTGAAGAGTTAATGTTTGTCTATTTACTCGGAATAAAAAAACCTGGATTTAATCCTTAGACACTAGACAGTGATTTAGACAGAGAAAGAAGGAAACAAAAAAAAGCATAGTTGATCACCAAGTTTCAGTTACATGTACACCCTACACGGACTACACGAAACTGCCTCCTTCCCCTCTCCTTTTCTTGCCCTCTTCTGGCTTCTTCCTCTTTTCCCTCTTTTCTCTTCTCTTCCTCTCCTTTTCCTTCTGCTTCTCCTTCTTCGTCTCCTCCTTCTCCTTCTTCTTTTCCCTCTTCTTCTCCTCCCTCCCCCCTTCCTTCTTCTTGCTGCTGCCCAAGATAATCTCAAACTTGTTTTGTGGTCCATGCTGGATTCGAATTTACAGTTGTCCTGCCTCAGCCTCACTCTGAGTTTCGGGATGTCATGCATGTGCTCCTGCACCTGGCAACCTTCTGTTTCTTCTTAACTCTTGGTCACTGCCCTTCTTTCTTTAGAGATTTATTACAATGATCTTTTAAGCATGTCCAGTTATATCTCACCCCTAATTTTGCCCTAAATTTCAATGTAGAATGAACTTGTTACATATATGAAAATGCCACTCATTCTCTTACTTAAAAATGTTAATGGATTCCCATTGTGATGGTTTATCCTGATCATCAAGAAAACTGGGCAAAGAGAGGCCTATAAAACTGCTTGAACACATTTCTGCGAAGGTCCCACTACAGAAGATCTCCTGGGGGTCAATTCATTGAGGGAGGTGAACATCCCCAACTATGAGTGGCACCATCCACAGCGCCCAGATGGGACACAGAGGCTTCCTTGTCTAAGGACCCATGATTGATTCTTCTCAAGGTCTGTTTTTCCTGTGCCACCTTCACACACATCTGTCTGTGATATCAAAACTCTATTTAATATCGATGGCTGGATATTTGGTTCATGTATAGGTTGGGCCCTACTCAGATACTAATTCCTCAGTGGAAGAGAAAAAAACATACCCCAAGGAGAAAGTGTATTAACCTTGGAAATACATGGTCTTTACTTTAAAATTCAGATCTACTTTCTTGTTCTGTAGCTTTAGGCAACTTATGTAACCTATCTTATTTTTAGTTTTCTCTTCTATAAAGTAGTACAAAATGTAACATGGCAGAATGAAGACTAATGGCTCCCAGGAAGATGGTACTATATGTCCGTGTTAAAATGTGTTTTCTAGTTGTTTGTATTTTCTTCACTCTGCTCCCCAATGAAGACAGGTGAGAATATAGCAAGAAGAAATACGTGCACTCTTTACAGAAGGAAATCATCTGTGCTTTATGAATACTACTAATGATAATACCAGCCACTCACCGAGCACTTACTAAGTGTATTAAGCTCTATAGCTCTTGTTTATATTTATACTATCTCATCGTTTACATTTTAATTATTTATGGGCTTTACATTGGTCTCACTAACTGTGAAGAGAAATAGGCATTTGGACCTAGCATAGCCTTACACAGCTCCAATATTAAACACCCGCGTGGTGAAAAATGGAAGCTCTATTAACACAATAAAAACACAAAACATGAGCACTTCTGTTTTGAAGAATAAACAAAATATTACATAATGAACCTATTAATTTCTTTATAGGCTTTTGATGATGTCTCCTAGGTCATTTACAAAAGGTTGAAGCAATCCAAATTTGAAGAGAAATTCAGGAAAGCCCGTTATTCCAAAACTCTCCTAAAATACACCCGTGTGGACAGAGCCATGTAACATTTCCACCACCCCAGGGATACACATTGTTATTCCTAACCATGCATTCAGTTGTGGCCTGAAAAATGTCATCAGCTCGAAGAAAAAAATATCTAGCTTTTATATAATGTCAGGAAGATGAGTGTCTACATATATTCCATTATCTTTTGTTGTTTGCAGTGTGACATTTTTGCAAAGATTCTGAAAAGAATATGATTTTTAGACATCTGAAGAGCTATTATTTGATGTTATATTTATTTTATGAGCAGTTTCGGTCCCTAACCTATTTGTGAAAGAATAGGAGAACCTCCAGTGATTGCAAGCCATCTTTCTAAATTAAATGAAATAGAAGAAGATTGGCACAAAAGAGACATAAGAGACAGAAAGGTCAACAACATCAGAATCAAGCTGTAATAATTTAAAAGTAAAAGAAAAACGCAACCAAAAAAAGCCCTGCTTTCTTACATTGGATGGAAACCGGGTCTAGACACCAAGTATTTAAGCACTAAGCATCTCAAATTCTGTTCCTCTAATTCAAGAGTCTGGAAGAATTATAATTCAAATATCCATCTATTTATGTTGCCCCAAGGGAAGCTTGTAAATTAGATTGACAATATTTCTGGTGCTAAAATATAAAATTAAGAATGGAGGAAAAGAAACAGGAGTGTACTTTTGGAAAACATTAAATGTTTGTTGGGTGGTGGTTCTAATCTTGGCTTTCTCAAGGACTAATTGCTGGAAGGTAAATAACTTGCTTACTTCATTTTAATTCCGGTTACTGATTTGTCCATTTATTATGAGAGTATTCAATTATCCTGGGATGCTTTGAAGGTAAAATTAAATAATTAGTGTGAAAAGATTTTTCAAAAATCAGAATATCATGCAGATATGTGGTATAGAGATAGAACAGAGTAATATGTCTTTTCTTTCAAGTTCAAGAAAATAACCCTTCATTCAATGCAATTTTATTAAACACTGATTTTATGTGACATTGTGATGTCCCTTCCCTCTTTTTGTTTGTTTGTTTGTTTTTTCAATACTGGGGATTTAACCCAGGGCTTCCCATTGAGCTGCATCCCCAGCCCTTTTTTATTTTTTACTTTGAGACAGGGTCTTGCTAAACTGCCAAATTGCTCAGGACAGGCTTGAGCATAGGATCTTCCTGCATCAATTCTCTGGAGTGCTGAAATTACAAACACATGCTGCTATACCCCACTTCTTCCAAATCTTTTCTTGTTTTGTTTATTTTCAATTTTTTATTCATTAAGTCTTTTGGCCCCAGCCCTTTTTTATTTTTTACTTTGAGACAGGGTCTTGCTAAACTGCCAAATTGCTCAGGACAGGCTTGAGCATAGGATCTTCCTGCATCAATTCTCTGGAGTGCTGAAATTACAAACACATGCTGCTATACCCCACTTCTTCCAAATCTTTTCTTGTTTTGTTTATTTTCAATTTTTTATTCATTAAGTCTTTTGGGGCACCCCTTCAGCCCTCTCCTTCCTTAAACCCCTTAACCCTTCCTATTTACCAAGACTTTGTTTCCATTTTTTGTTTTTCTCATATTTATTCCTTTGCCCTACCCCTCCCATCTCCTGTTCCCCTTTGGAACGTTTCTTCCTATTTCATATCATCTGTTATACATTTTGATCCTTATTTATTAACACTTTCAGTTTCTCACAGCAGAGAAAGTATTTGGTATTTACACAGCTGTCCTAGTTATTTCATTTAAGAATATAGCCTTCATTAAGAGTATGCATCCAGTTAGTTACAAATGTGTCTACTTTCTCATGCTTTATGGCTGAGTAGTACTCCATTTTATTAAAAAAACACATCTTCCTTATCCAGTCCCCAGTGGTTGGGTAATTGGACTGTTTTCAAGTTTTAGCTATTACAAACTGTGCCGCTATGAACAGGGGTGCATATATATTACTGTGGTATGATTCTTTTTAATTCTTTTGGGGAGATACCCAGGAGGGGAATAGCTGGGTCCAATGGGACCTCTAATCCTAGTTGTTTGAGGTATCTCCATACTGATTTCCCCAGTGGTTGCACCAGCCTGCACTCCCCTTGATAGTGGAGCAGGGTTCTTTTTTCCCCATAACCCCACCAGCATTTGTTAGAATGGCTGCTTCTTCCAAATCTTAAAGATTTCAATGTTTTCTATAGCATAACCATTTAAAAATAACTGGTATATTAAAATGGTGGTGATATTTCACTAACTGCTTTGTAAAATACTGAAGGAGACAAGATTATACATCTGCACATCTACATTGTTTGGCCTTTCTGAACTTGTTCCTTCATTTGAAATATGGGAAATTTGGTGAGACAACCACAAAGGTCTTTTTCCCGCAGTTCTCCTCTTCTGTGTTTATAACTGCTTCTCAAGAGACCCAGTACTAGGGTTTATAAATGGGAGCCCTAAATCTCCTTTGATAAATGTTGAACGTGACTGTTGCTCCATGATCAAAGAAGACAATTCCCTCCTTATTTGGCCTTGCAGAGTCATCCTGAACTCTGCTCACTCAGAGACGCCTTTGCGTTCTAGATCATAGAATTCCACAGTTTCTCTTAGTCATCTGTTCCAGGTGTTAACGATAGTTGTTTTAAGAAACATCTTAGTTCCCAAATTAATGTCAATTTTCTGTGATCCCTTTGGCTTTGGCAAATATGAGAATTTCTGGTCATCATCGTGTGTTTTAAGAACATGGTGTGTTATTACATTCTCATTATTTTCTTGACACTGATATCATTCCTATGCCTAACGACCAGTTTAAGTATTTTACTTTTCTGCGTAAGCCATGTCTCATTCCCTTTAATCACTGTTTTAATTTTTCCGTGCACTTTGCTCAAAGAGTTGCTTAGCAAACATCATGTGATGAGATGGAGGAAACAAGCTCTAAATCCAAAGCGCCTTCCTCTATACTTGGAGCTGCTTTGTGCCATCGTGTGGTTCTTGCATTTGCTCAGTCATCATCACTACCAGTAACGCTTGATATGTACTGCACAGCTGTAATACACCAGATACACTTCTAAGCAGTAACATACACTTTCTCACATCAGTATCACAGTAACTCATGAAACAGATACGTGAATCAAATGAACAGACACGTTTAAAGAGATGCCACAGGTAACACAATTAATAAGTGGTAGAGCCAGCATTTCCAGACTGTACATTCTTCATGATTTTGTTTTCCCATCTCACATGTCTGTGTTGACTATTATTGGTCTGCTATATGGTTGAGAGTTGTATGGTCCACAGCCAGGCTACTCATGTTCAGTTTTCTGCCTCTTCCCAGATGTGTAACCTTAGAAAACCCCTTAAGCTTCTCTGGACATGGGAATGATGGTGACATAAAAGTTTTTTGTGAGGATCGAAGATTAAAATAGTCCCAGTAATATAAGACAGTTATCTCATGCATCTGTGAGGTTTTTTAGGGCAAGGGCTGTTTGTCTTTCTTTGCTCTTATCTAGACCCGTCACAGTGTTGAACATGGTAAGTGAACAAAGACTGAGGAATAAGTGGGAAAGTGAATGAATAACCCGGACTTAGATAGTATTTGAGATCAATGAGCGTTTATCCTTTCCATCACCTGTAATAGTTTTGCTCTTCTGGGTGAAAAATTACACTTCACACTAAGGGCTATAACTCATTTTCTTTCTCTAAACATGATGGTAGACTCCATGAAATCCTCTAAAAGGATTTCCACTGAATTAAAAATTCCAAATATTGTGTTGAGATGCCACTGTTTTCCTTGAGAGTACTGAAATGACCTGGGTATTTTTGACCACACACAGGTCACTAGGATTGCGTGTTTGTATGTTCAGATGTGTGTTGGTGGCCAGCAAATAGCTCATCTACTTGTAACTTCATTAAGAGGTTACTGGAATTGACAGTCTCCCCAGTGAGATTTCACCATTCCCGTGGTGTGTGCATCTCCAGCCATCATTCTCTTGTCTTGTTGGCAGAAACAAGAAAGTAATTGCCTTCAGTGTCATGTATCTTTCAGGATCCAGGAAGAGATGTGAAATACAGATTTAAAGACCTTCCTCAAGGTCTTACAGTGACATGGTCAAGGTTATTGGGCCAGAACTCTTTAGCCTTCTTCCTCTAAGCCACCTTCTAGACTTGTATACACTGCTGCATATGTAGTACTGCTGTTGGCTTGTTTTCTGTATTCCCTGAATCTTTTGTGCTAGCAAGAATAGATGGATTGTTCCTTGAGCAAACAGCATGAATCTGTTATTCTGAATGTCCTGGGCCTTGAACAGTGATTATTTGTCCTCTAACAGATGTAGACTAAAAAAAAAAAAAAATACAAACAAAAGAAAATCCACCTCCCGAAGCAATCCTTTCTCAGTTATGCTAATTTATATTCATGTATTTATTTCATTAATTCACAATATTTATGCAGTGCCTCCTATGTCCCATCTACTATAGAAAATAATAGAAATTCAGAAGACAGACATGGTCCCTACCCTCACAGAAATGTTAATGACAGTACTTACAAAGCATTTGGATAATTACAGTTTATATATGCATCTGCTCTTACTTTGAATTCTATGAGAGCAAGGTCTGTACCTTGTCTATCACTGAATCTCTAGTGCCTGTCATAATATCCACCTTGTAATAGCATTCCATTTTTAAGAAGTAAGCACCGCTTATTTTAGTATCTTTTTCAATAAAGCATGTTATGAGAAAGAAAAATCTTCAGCATTTTTCAAGTTTAGGATGTTTTCAGGACTAACCACATCCACTCTGGGGACCTATTTATAGAATTTTGCAATATTTAGGATAGTTCATTCTTAATGTAAAACTATAGCATTCCCATTCTTTAGATAAGACCAATGCTTCCATTTGAATAAATGACTTTCCCAAGGTCACAAGATCGCTAAATGAGAGAGCTAGCACTGAATGTACAGTTTTCTCACCACAAAGCTCATGACCTTTCCACTATGCAGCTTGCATTTCTAGGGAAAAAGATAAGGATCAGTTTTCTCCATTGATTAAAACAAGGTGCATGAGTATTTACTCTTCTAAGGTAGTTAAGGATATCTTTAAATAAGGAAAAGACGTCTTGTTAACAACAACTAATCCAATATGATAGTAAGAGTATTGACCTATTACTTGAAGGTCCTAGAATTATGACTGTTCAAATTATGAACTTTGGATTCTAAGGAATAAAAGTTTTTTTCGAGCAAAATAGCATCAGTGTTCATATATAGTGCTAAAGCATCTTTCTTTACAAGTCACAAATCAAAGTGAACTAAACTTAAATTTTATAAGACATCTTTCAAAATAATTGTCGACCTTTAGTATTGTAGTAATTGAACATATTTTAAAGTATTGGGCTTTGTGGGGGGCATGAGTTTTCCTAATTGTACATCCACATTTTCTCGTAATTATTTGGCCTGATTCTGATATTTTAATTAGTACAAAATGGTAAGTTGCATATATAAAACATAATTGTTTGAAACAACTTTGAAATGTCAGGTCCATGTTTTTAACAGCATCTAATGTGATTCTGAGAGTGGCGCTTGTGAACGACTTACAACCCAGAAACGTGTAATATTTTATCTACTTTTAATTCCAAACTGAAGTGACCAGTTATATGGCTTTATCTCTATTGGCATTCAATGTGGGAAATGCTTGGCTAGTGCTTTGTACATTCCGATATGTAAAACAAATTGGCTTTATGGTGTCCCATGTGTAATGGTCACTGCCACAAGTGCACCAAGATTCATTAAGTTAACGTCTATGTAAAGTTTTCTGTGTGCCAAGAAATGTGGCATATAATCTTAATGGGTTTAATTTGATTCTTTCCAGTGTCACTACTGGTGATGGCAATCACTGACAAAGTGGAGAAATGAAAAAATAACCCAGATACTCACCCCCTAGGATTCACATGCCTGCCTTCTGTGCTACAGTGATCACATAGAACTAGATACTTATTTGCATAGAAACAGAAGCCAAAAGGCATTATACGACAGGTCCAACATCACAGCTCAAGGGATCCCCAATTTGGTGCAATTTTCTCTCTCCTCTGCTTGTGTTTCTCGAAGAGTCTTTGAGCACTCACCTTGTCACAAGATATTTTTTGTTATTTTTCCCATATTTGGATTAACACAGGGATGCTTACCTGTGCTGGACTGCACAATCCCAGAGTCTACTGTTTGTCCAAGAAGATCATATTGGTTTAAGCGTGACCCATCTTCCGCTACAACCACTGAGCGTGCTGGCTCTCGAGTCCACTCATAAACAACTTCTGCTCTTGTGTAAGCATCTAAAAAGAGAGTGGGACATTATCTGTGTATTTTGCCTCTTTGATTCTCCAAATTTTTTGATGTGCTGTATCACGTCATATTTCCTCTCATGATTTCAGAGGGCAAAGTAGAAAATGAAATTCCATATTTCTCAGTTTTTGGAATACCAAAGCACGTGTTTTCCTGATTCTTTTAGTCATTTTTTTCACTCTTCCAACAAATGATTATTAGGGATCTGCAAAGGCAAAGTACCATGCCAGGTTTACAGGAGTGAACATAACAAAAAAGATACAGATTGCAGGGGATGTACATTGTAGTGGTAGGGACAAAAGCAGACACACCAATAAATGTATAATTTCAAGTAATCATAACTGCAATAAAGTCATACGTGTATCAGTAGAGAGTTGGAGAATGGAGGGTGTATGGGGTCACTTTACGTGAGGAAAAAAAGAAGAAATGAGCTCAGTAGAGAAGAGCTTGCTCAGCAGATAAACTAGCAAAGTTTTTCTTTCCTTGTGAGTAAAAGAATAATTAATATGAGAATTGGGCAAGGTGGCACACACCTATGATCGCAACACTCAGGAGGCTGAGGAAAGCGGATTGCTGTGGGTTGAGGTCAGCCTGAATAACATAGCGAGACCCTATCTCAAAAAAAAAGAAAGAAAAAAATTAATTTAAGGAAGACCAATGTATGTCCTGTGAGGGGCTTGAGAGATGAAATGAGATTAAAGTTAATACCTTGGGTCCATATTCAAGGTATTATGTCAAGCCAAGGGGATATTATGATAACTTTGAAAAGTAACCTTAGAAATTTGGCTGTGCAACCACTTGCAGGGAAAGTCTGACTTTACTCCCTTTTTACTGATTATTCTTTTTATACATCTTTACCATCATTATCATGATGATGAATGACAGTTTATGGCTCTTCTTCTCAGTCATTTTCACTTGCCACGTTTCTTTTTACCTAACCACCTTCTGTATAAAAAGTTTGATCATAATGTTTAATCTGTATGGGTAAAGGAGGAAGACACAGGGTGAGAGAGAAACAGAAGAAGAAAAAGAAGAAATTCTGTAGCTTCTCTGGCTTCTGGTCCCAGCATGACCACTTTGTATAAGTAGAAATGATGACATATACTCTCCTCTGTTTAGATATAAGATAATGCTCAAAATTAGGGAATATCACATTAGAAAAGTAAGTTGCTTCCAGAGTGTGTAATGGGAGGATGTGTTCACAAAAGGTGGCCACACTATACGAGCCAGCTTCACTGCTCACTGGCCAACTTCTCCATTAGACTCAGAGGGCACAGTGCCACGACCCACGTAATTTTCGAAGGCTATGAAAATGTTTAATCTTTTTTTTTAATCAGGAGCTAAAACAAAAATAAACTAACCTGAATTATGCTCATCTTCATGCCGACCTACTCATAAAATATAGTTCTAAAGGAATGGTTCCTGAAGGCAGAAATATCTATGCCCTACAAAGCTGTCATGTGGTCTTGTCTGATCCAGTGTTCACCTGTAGGTGACCAGGCTTGGTCCTTGCGTTTGCAAGGCAGGAAGTGGAACCACTGAGTAAATCCCCAGGCAAGCCTCACACTCTGAATGAAGCTTGTTGAAGGGATCACTTTTCTCTGCCTTGACTCAGGCAGAAAACGTGCAAGCAATGTTCTCTGGTTTTACGTGGGGAACCTGTCTATTTGAGCCTTATTTCTGGGTCCATTTACAATCACAGATCTCTTTCAACAGTTTTTTCTAGGGGTATTAGATAAGTTAACTAAATAGTTTATGAGACAGATAAAAGTGTCAAATGGATAATTTGGAATTTGGCCTTTTAGACCTTTCCGCTTTTCCTTTTTAACTATACTTGGCCTTACTGACTTGAAAAATTAAGAGTTTCAGTACTTCAGATAGTAGGAAGATTGAATCTGCTAGAAGGGTATAAAATGTGGTTTTAGAAAATCTCTTAGAAGATAGCATAGCACAATAGTTTGCACCTGATAACTAATAGTACTTCACTTTTATGAGTCTTTGTGTTTCCATTGGTAATTTCTAAGGTTATGTATTGCTCAGAATGCATTTACGTTTCTGCTCATTCTTCTACTCTTCACTTCCATGGCTCTGTGATAAGCAATTAAGAAACAATTTGTTAAGCTCTTCTTGTATCTAGCATTTGCCTAGATCTTAGTGTTAGAATCTATACCTTGAATATCTTCTTTTAGAAGATTGTGAATTTTCCTCAAAAAGCAATTGAAAGATGACAACTGTATCACCTAGGTGGTCTTTGGGTTAATTGTTCTTATGCAGAGGTCTTTATCCCTAACCAGCAGAAAGTAAGTTAGCCCTGACAGTTAGAACCTAATGGAGAGTGGTAAGAAGAACATCTGCTTTGCTGTGTTCTTGGCTTATCCTTGTATGGATGAGGTTGTTTCGGAAGCTCCATAAATATTTATTGCAGAGTGTCCCACTATGTTTTGGGAAACCACTCTTGCTTACCTTCTTTCCATATGTTGTAGCAAGATATTCAGCCTAAATATGGGTTAACTTTCTTCACCTTTGACATATGTGGGTTAAACCAGGTTAGAGAGAAGACCAGAGGATGGATGCACTGTTCATAGTGACGTATGGTAACCTGTCCCTTTGTCTCTCACTGAGCAGGACTTGCTGAGCACGTGTCTATGTCCAGATTCTTTTGTTTAATTCCCCCCACTGATCTTAATGTAAAACATAAACGCTGGGCAAGTATGCAAAACCCGATTACTGTAATCTTAAAAAATGAAGAAATATTTACCACATATATACTTTGTCTTATTTTTGACCCCGGGAAAAGCCAAGTGAAATTTATTGTGGTCTCATGAAGACTACAGTCTTCAGATAGTAACAAGTACCCACCAATAAGAAAAACTTTTTTTTTTTTCTTGTACCTGGGATTGAACTCAGGTCCTTGTGCTTGCAAGGCAGGCAGCGGAACCACTGGGAATAGTACCCACCAATAAGAAAAACTTTTTTTTTTCTTGTACCTGGGATTGAACTCAGGTCCTTGTGCTTGCAAGGCAGGCAGCGGAACCACTGGGTTAAATCCCCAGCTGTAAAACCATTTATTAATGGCACAATAAATGGCATAAAAAGGTGCAGTGGGCTGAAGGAAGGCTGATGCAGAGTTGAGGGTGTAGCTCTGTGGTTGATCGCTTGCCTGTCCTGTGCAAGGTCCGGGTTCAATCTCAGCACAGCACTCAAAGAAGGAAGAGTAACAGGGAGAAGGGAAAGAAGGGAGAGGATTGAGAGGATTGTAGGGGCTGTGCAAATGCCTGCAAATTCGGCAGCGAATGCCCTAGGAGTTGTCATGTGTGCAGAGATGTGGAGAGAGAAGGACCCAGGCACACTGAACACCAACAGAAGAGCGGTCCTGGTACAGAAAACAGCACATGCAGAGGCACTGAGTGGAAAATGGCTCGCATACGCTTCTCGAATTCCAATTTTCCTGTGCCACATTATTAGCTTTCCACTCACAATCCATTTGTTCCTTCCCAAAATACCTCTAATATTCTTCAGTTTGCAAAGATGAAAATATTTTCTTCCCAAAGTACTTTGCTAATAGCATTGGCATTGTGATGTACATTTGACTCGTGAAACATGAATAGATTACTGATAGGGTTTTAGAAAAAGCTTTTGACTTTTAGATTTAAGTGTAACTTCTCTGTCTTTTTTCCCCCTACCAATTATTGCCCCTCCACTTGAAAGCAGACGCAATGGTTGGAGTTTCAGCAGCCATCTGTGATGGGAAGAAGCATCTAAAATTTACAGCTAGTCTTAGAATTTATCTTAAAATTTCAGTATTGTTAAGGATATCTTCAAACAGCAACTCTGTTAAGGTGCCAGACTGTCCAGCCCTCAACAACAATCACCTCTTCCTCCATCTTATATGAAAATAAAAACCCTTCTCCACATCAACTGCCCTTACTAATGAAATAAGTACCAAATAATATAAAAAATATATCATCCCTTGTCTAGATTACGGGATTTTTGAAGGTAAATAAAAGCACTATTAATAATTTTTCCAGGATATTATAAATAAATAAATTTATAAATTATAAATCAGTGCTGTTTCAGGCTAAATATGACACGTGATCTTCCTATGAGGCTACAATACAAATGAGATGAGCTTGTAAGTCTATAGACATTTAACGTATTACCTCACCTGTAAATAACACATATTGTGTCCTATTGTTGGTAATGATGGAGCTGCTTTTCAAGAGAAAATGTAATAGTCTATAAAGTAAAATATAAGTTAAAATAAGAAAGGGTAGGGAGAAGGAAGTTATTACCAAAGGCCTGTTTAGATGACAGTTTTTGGTGTAGTTTACCCTTGCGTTTCAATACAGAATGAAATTTGAAAATAGAGAACATTGTCCCTCCATGACTCGTGCTGCTAGGAAAACGAGGCCCTCTGCTGTTTTCTTTGCTTGCTGTCTTCCTACACTACCACTGTTTTTCTTCTATGAATCATATCGTCACCAAAATAGTTGTTCAGACGGGTTGTCTAGTGAGAACAGAAAGCCGGCTAGGTAGCCCAGGAGTTGAGTCAGTCCTTGTACGTAATTCCCCTGCAGGATGCTCGGAATACATTTTTCCCACTTGCTTCAAGCATGCATGTTGGGCAGATGCAGAAAGAGGGAGGAGGCCAGAGAACCTGGCTCTGAGGCCTGCTGTTCTGCCTTCCCCAAGGGGCACCTGAATAGTCTCAAAAAGGTGAAACCCCAGAATTTACTATAAAGGAAATTTGTCTAGGATATCATGAAAAGCATAAATATGTTCCCGAACTCTACAGGACAGCCCAGGTCATCTAGAAATCTTTTACAAGTCCAAAGAGGTTAAATTCTTTTCTAGAAACCTCCATAAGATGAAGGTTTTATTAAGAAGGAACATCTAGTTCTTATCCATTGCCATCTACCAATGTTTCCGTCTGGCAGACAGGTTAAATTATGCTTAAGATCAAACAATTATCTGTAACAATTTAAGATAAACACAATAATATTCATTTATTTGCAGGGAAAGATTTTTCTTTCTTATGAAAAAATAAGATAAAAGCTCATAACAAAAAGAGAATAATGTTATCTATGTAGTACAAGTATTCATAGTACTCCCCTTTTTCTATGGATACAGCTTCAACAAAGATAGAATTCTTCCACTAACTGGCTTAATGCATGCTTTCTGTTCTAGTAGATAAATAATAACCCTTTTCCTGAAATAATATTAAACAGGTAAGTCAAGGATTACTGCTTATAGGAAGCCTTTGCAATATATGGCTGCTTGAATTTTCTTGATGTCTTTGTGTCTGACAGACTTCACTAATTGGAAGTCTCTTGCTCAAAATCTTAGATCTCTCCTAAGAATAGGAAAAATAGATTTACTCACAGCTTCCAAATTTTAGCGGGCAGGCGTGGGCATCCATAGGGAAGTCCTCCAAGTGCATTGGGCATTCGGCTCTCACCGTTAGTCTTATTCATTAAGGGAAATATAAAATACAAACAAAAGGTGTAAATTAGGCACCTGCTGATCATCAGAGTGGGATGTTATTAAATATAGCAAATACATGAACAAGGCACGGGGGGACGTAACCTGGAGAGATACACTGAGTTGTTAATGACCAAATGATCCCAAAATAATTATTCACAGCAATGACTGAATTCTATCCATTTTGTGCTTGTTTGCGTTGAGAAAGTAGGCAACATTTTGTGTCCAGTAAGCAAGCATTGCTAACATTTTCCAAAACAAACACCATCATAATCTACCTTACCACAGAAAACTTTTTATAATCAAGTTAGATTTAAGCAAATAAGTCCCTGATGAGGGATATCCTGATTGCCCTGCTTTGATCATTACACAATGTATACAAGCACTGAAACGCACATCAAATATCCTAACTATGCAAAATTATCATGTGTCAAGGAAAAGTACAAGGGATCAGGATGTGGTATGTATATGTACCAATTCGCCCATGACAAATGTATTTGTTATGAAGCAGAAATCTATACTTATAGAAGAAGGAAAAAAATGCATGCATAAGTGCAAATTTGTCTTTGGTAGAGAAGACAATATAGTAAGACAGAAAAAAAGATTAATTATGTTTTGCTAAATGCAACTCTGTGTCCTCTAAACTAGCACCAAAGGAATAAGACAAAGAAGGAACAGTGAAGGAGGAGACTCCTAAAGCTCCATGAGACTGAGATTACTGTATTCTCCTTGAGAATGTGTATATGATGTTATTGTTTTCCAACCATTTATTTCTGTGTACCAACCGATGGCCTCATTAAGCCAGGACTCTGCTGCTCCTTGCTAGTGCCTAGGATTTTCTAGGAATTTGAGTTCTTTTCATGTTTTTTTAAAGGAACTGTTAAGAAAGTAATTCACTGAAATTTCTTTGCTCTCAGTTTGTAGAATTGTGAAGGAGTTTATATGCATTTCTTCTAAGGGATTTCTAGCAAGGTTTTTATATTAAGTAGGTTTTCATTAAGTAGCTTAAAAACATGGCACAGGGGCTTTAGAGCCAGTAAAATCAAGTGATTATAATATGGAATAAAGGAAATGTAAAACCTATGGGTTAATGATTAAATTAATTGCATTCTTAAGTCCGTTAAAATAATAACATGTCAACAAAAATGGTGAGAAATTTCAAAAATAGAAGGTAAAGGTTAGTTATTGATGAAGAATTTTACATCTATCAAAACACTTAATTGGTAAACTATTCAGGATAAGCAAATCACTCTCAGAAAATCACCACTTGGGAGGAATGGATAGTGGGTTTGGGCTCAAAGGAAAACATAAGATTTTTTTCTCTTTTTTTAAAATACTGCTGTGCTTACCTCATGGTGTAGAGCAAGGTGCCGTCCTCCGTGATCCGCAGCAACTTATTGGGCATTGTCATGTTATGAGCCACAGACTTCTTGCCATTGTGAAAAAAGGTGTCTGGAGTCCAGATCTTACTCGCCATTAGATTGTTTAGCCGGAGAACTGTCATGGGTCCTTTAAATTTTAATCTTTCATCTTTCCAACTTTGACGGAAAAATACATCTATTGTATACTCCTAGGCAATTGCGGAAAATGGCAAAGAGTTCATTGTGATTGATTTTGTGATTCAGATACCTCACAGACAATGCATAATTTTTCCAACTTTGGAAGCAAAATGCCAGCAAGGTGTTCACCCAGAAGTATATTAATGTCAGGTGAATCACTGATTTGTGTCATTAAAAAAAACAACTATAATGCCAACATATTTTGGGGTAGAAATGTGTTCTATCTTTAAATATGTGAAAGGAAGATAAGAACACCACACTCTCTCCTGTGTGGCAACATCAAAAGAAACAGACTCTATTATAATTAAAATAACAAATTCACACCTGAGGCTATTGCGTATAGGAATATATTTAAGTCAGATAACTCCAGCCATAAAGGTAAAGCACAGTTTTTGAGACTCTCCCAGTGTCTGTGAAACCCTCCCAGCACAACCAAGTCAAACATAGGTCTATATAGGTGTGAAAGTTCTTTTTTTTTTACTAAGTAAGCATTTTTTTTCAAGATATGTAGAGTTCCAGTTCTACAAAATGAGGACTATGAAAATGAATGATCCATATTCACCAGTAACTTGAATTCATCTCCATCCCCAAAAATGGAAAAAAACACAGAGTATATGGGTGTGTATGAGCGTGCCTGCGATTGTATGTGTGTATAAGTCACGTGAGAAATGTGTGAAGCTCATCGTTACTCACAGCCAAGGAATCTCTTTATTTGATTCAACACAGCATTCCTTATGGTAATACCCAGAGACAAACATCTGCTAATCTGAAAACAAGCAATATGACTTACCAGCTCCTAAAATTGAAAGGGGTAATATTTGTCTTCATTGCAGTGCTTGCTACATTGGCACTCAATTTGGAATTCAATGGTTTGAAATAAAGATTACCACATCCTCCATTAATCCTGGCATGCTTGAAACTAGAAAGAGGACTAACTGGAAAACACCATATTACTTTTGCTAATCCTCTAAACTCCACTGCGTCTGAAAGAATCTGTTTTTTAAATCTTTAGGACACGTAAAATAAACAACATTTGCTTTTAGGTATTTTAAGCGCAAATGTAACTACCTGTCTCCTAGGACTTAAGCAAGACTGATACAGACTCAGGGGAGGTTCATCTTTGTGTCATACGTTTGATATTGCTGCAGCCTTACAGATCGAGTCATCCACAGTAATCAGTTGGTGGTCTATAGTGCTAATTGCTGACTGAGATAAAAACAAGGAAGTTTCACATGAAGCCATCCTGCTGATGTAAGCAGGACAAGTTGCCTTCCTCGTTGGTTAGGATTTTGTGTGTGTGTGTGTGTGTGTGTGTGTGTGTGTGTGTGTGTGTGTGTGCGCGCGCATGCCACTGTGATCTATGATGGGAATTCACTTACCAGCAAACATTTGTTAAGCGTATGTTAAATTTAGCAGAAGAAGAAACTCTGTGGGCTTTAATATTGTCAAGAAAACTCATGGAGGAGTAGTTAGAGAATAGAATGGTATTTTTCCATAAAGAGAGAAAAATACTAAACTATATGAGAAACTCTTACAGTGTAGTAGTAATTGTCAAGGCAACGGGGTGCACAGATCTAGTCTTTACTGTGTATGTTCTTCTCCTCGGGACAACAGGCTTGTAACCATGTGATAAATGATGGTATTTGTATTTCTCACACCCTACCCATGCGCTTTCTAGTCTCTGTCCAGCTGAACTTCTTTAGACTGGCCAATAGTAGAGGGAATGACCGCTTGTAAAATCAAAATTCCAAGGATGTCCAAGCTGTCTAAATGAATCTAAAGATTTGGTTCACTTGTTTGTTTGCTCCAGAGATTATTTTGAAAATCAAATAAATGTTAAAAATTGACCTGCAACAGATGTTATCAAATCTCTGACAAGATATATCCCAAAGGCAATGATTCTCCCCCAAAAAACTGTCTGTCAGAACTTCCAGAGTCCTGATATTTACATGCTCATCCTGTTTGCAGCTTCCTTTGTAGACCTGTGCTAGTGGCAGACCGTAAGATTGTCAGATTGATTTCAGACATCCTGCCTTCACATAGGGTACGACTCACACATGGGAACACATGGCAATACTACCAGGGTACACTTGCTTTCCATTTTCCTCTGTCAGAAGTAGAAAGGAGAAGTGAGGTGAAAGCAGTTGGTCCCTTAGTGGTGACCGAGAGGGTAAATACTCAGCCACTTGTTGTCTGAGAACTTCCCCTGTGGGATGGCCGGGGTAGCAGTAAGTGGCTTCCAGTGGCTTTTCTGTCACCTCTCTTGCCCCATGGGTATAACTCATTAGATCCAGAATGGGCACCTGGAGCTGGATAAGCCAGATCCTCCTCTGTAAGATTTCAGAACATGGAGAGGAGTGAAGTACAGTTGCAGCCTTGCTGGTTATGGATATAAATTGTAAGCTTTCTGCCTAACTGACCTCAGGTAATTTTTCATACCCTCATTAAACCCCAGCTTCAAAACCTATGAAGTGGGGATAACTAACTTGGCTTATGTAAGAAGTGAGGTAACAATTGAATGACTGTAAGAATTTCTAAAATACAAGAAGTCCTAGTACATCTCATCGCTTACCAAACACAAATTGTCGTTAGATTTTTATGTAACTGGGAAAGAAAAAAGTGCTGTTGCTTTGCAAGTCTGATAGATTCAGAAACCTTGAGGAAGTGAGAAGGTAATGGTAACCAAGACAAGCCAAAGCAGAATGCAACAGCGGGGGTGCCGTGGCAAAGGGAGGAAACGCAGACGGCGTTTCGAGTTCCAGCCCACTCCAGACAAAGCCTGTCTGAGTCCTGTTCCACAGACTGTCTCTGAAGAATGTGAGCCTCATTCGGAAGATCTGGGACAAAACGTGCACTATGTTCCTAAATAAATACTGTATTAAAGTGTTATCATTTGCCTCAGTACTTGCCATCTGTGTGTGCTGTCACTTAACACATTTTAAGCACTATCGAAAACAAGGCCGTGTGATCCTGCTGCCTGGATATTTCTGTCCGAACCTAGTGCCCTGGGAATGCGCTGCTTGATGGCCAATTAATGGTTTTTAAAATGAAGTTAAGTAGCTGCCCTAAATTGTTTTCTATTCCAGATGAAGTCAGATGCCTTGGGAGTGCTGGAGCCTGTGGGGATGGATGGCCAGGGTTCTGCTGCTATGGTTAGGTAGTGGGTCACTTTCGTTCTCTGGAGAATGTAGATAAGAATAATTTTATCTAAAAGGTTTGCCATGAGCATTTAATGAAATGTCATCTATACAGCTTCCATATGGGGCCTAACATGTGTAAGCATTAAAAAGTGATAAATGCTGTTATGGTTATATTCATTAACTAGATATTTGATTGGTTCTTGCATGAAAAGCAACAAAGCATTTCCTGCTTTGAAAAATACTTTTGTCACTCTGCTTTCTACTTTTCATTTCCTCTAAAGCATACTACTCCCCTTTAGATATAACATGATATGATATAGTTTGTGGTTAATCTTGTGAACGAGGTGATCAGGTAAGGTTTTTTACTATCCACTTTGCAAATCATTCGGCATGTAGTGACTAATCCTTTGATAAAACAATCAAACTTGGCCTGATTCAGAAGTTTTAGGCAATAGAAAGTATCTTTACTTAGACTCTATGTTATTCTCATGTGATAGTTGACGAGAATTTGTAGAAGAAATGTAATACATGATAGAGTTAATAGAGTATCAAAAATTCCTATTTTTTCAGATAAAAAAACTAATTTTTTTAAAAGTCTCAATTAATCTGAACCAATCATTTAAGTATTTTGTAAGGGAAAAGTGTCTGATCATATGTGGCTTTATTCAGGCATCATCGCTTAATATTAACTTTTGAACTTCTGTGATGTACAATCACAGTTGCCCAAAACAGAGATAGAATTCAAGTATCGTTTTATGTCTCTTGCCCCTTACTCTATTGTTTTGTTTCTCAAACTGTTCAACATTTGGAAAGGAAGGTCGAATTTAATGGGGCCGTTAGATCTTAATGTTTCAATGTTAATATACACCCCTAAACCTATAAAGCAAACAGTAATTCAACACTTACTCTAAATCAGAAATGAACTGATACTGTGAGGTTTGTGAAACAAGTATGTCTTTAGAATTTTAGACATCATCTTACAAAAATATTTACTGATAAAAGAGAAATAACTTTACAAAGTGATATTATGTAGGTGCACAAAAACTAAATCATATTTTATACTGAATAAACATGAATAATACAAAAAGGAAAAAAGTTTGGAATTGCGTTAATAAAAAATAGTTTCATTAAACACTTAGATCTTGATTTGAGCCTCTGTGGAAATACAGGATTTAGATGAGTAAAGAGAAAAAAAAAAGGCATGAGGTCTACATGGCCTTATAAAGGACTCAGAGGCAAAAATTACAGTGACTATTGTTTATCAAGCACTATAGATATTTATTCTTTGCATCTCATTTAAAATTTATTAACAGTTTAGCAGATACAGGAAACTATAATAATATAAACAGTTGAGAAGCTTTAGAAGCTTAAGTGATTTGGCCAAATTCCTGTTGCTGGTGGCAGTAAGATTTGAAATCTGCTACTCTGAAACCTACGGTCCTTCCTGATGACCCTCAAGGTGCATTGCCTCACAAAAAGTAGGACTCACATGCATAACTAAAGCAGGCAGTCAGTACTGTGAACGGGTGAGGAATGTCCAAATAATTTATGAATAAATGGAGAACATAAGCATAAAATGGTTATACTTGATTTTAAACCTGAATAATTTTGAAGTTTTTATTCCAAATCACTGAGATCCTTTGAAATCAAAGGACTTATACTTAAATTTTAACAGAGAAGTGTTTCCAAAGATAATATCTGGTTAATATTTCTCTGAAGTATTCATAGTGGTATCTTCATAACCACTTTATTATGTTTTTCTTACATTGAAGCTGGACTCGTGCATTTAGGAATATTATATAACATTGAAAAAGCTCTACTGATTTACCAACTCCCACCAAATTAGATAGAAATTCATGCTAACTCATGTTGGGAAAAGACAGAGCAGTTATATATTCATCTTACTAACGTTTTTTGGTAATAATTGGCTGAATGTCTTTTGTAATGAGGTGTAAACATTTTCCACTAGTGTATTGCCTTTTAACTGTGTCTCTAATGCTGGTCAAGTATCCACTCAACTTTACACTCATTTATGCTTCATAGGCAAAAATAGTCAGAAATCACAGTACTGATGGCTGTCATGTAACAGTGCTGGCTATTTGAAAATCTGGCATCCTTGTGTCAGTATGGTCTCCTCCTCAATATGAACAGTAGCTAATATAACACAGCTTATGGAACACAAGCTGAAGCAAGGCAGCCAGTTCAGGGCTGGGGAAAAAGAAATAATACAGTAGTTGACAGCTGTAGCAATAAGGCTGACCTGGAAAGCAAATACGATTTTTCTGTTTTATGTATGTGTGTATTATGCAGGTAGGCATATAATGTACATATACATTGTATAACAATATTAAATGATAAAAGATATGATATATATGGAGGCAAAAAGAGATAGCCAAACTTTTTCAGATTTTTCCCTGGAAACTCAGTGTCTGTATTTCTTGCAAAAGTTAAATTGAAAAGATATCCCGAGAAAACCAAAGATGTGGCATCACTTACCATATCATGGTCTGAAACTGGTCCGAAGCTCGTGACGAAGATGTCAGTCTTCACCTCTGTTACACGCTCTGATGGAGCAGGAAATTGGGCCAGTGAGTATCTATCCACATCCCTATTAGACCTCACCACATACATACTCATGCCCAAATGGGAAATGTCTTGCCTTTGATTAGCTATTTGTAAGATTGGTCCACTGTGTAGTCCTGACGATTTACTGCTTACACATGAAATTTCAGTTAGTATTTTCATTGGGGAACAGAACCTAAATATGTCACTTTGGGAGGCAGGCTTTACAGAGAACTCAGCTGCTTCTTAATGAATTCTTCAAGAATGGACACACTTGCCTAAAGGATGCCAAACCACTTCCCACTGTAATAAATATATGTTAGCATAGCAGTATGCCTTAAAGTTAAATATTTCGGCACAGGTAGACGCATACTCCAGGAATGTGGGATATTCCTGGATTATATGCAGTATGCCTCAGCAAGCTTTCTTTAAGGTCTCAAGAGTATGTGTTATAGGGCCAGAGATTCAGTTCAGTGTTTCCACCGCCTGCCTCAAAAGTGCAAGGTACTGAGTTCAATCCCTGGTACAAAAAAAAAAAAAAAAAAAGAGTATGTTGTATAAATAATAGTTTTCTTTCAGTAAATCATAACTGACTCACCTAAATTACTCCCTTGGAAAAATATGATATCTTATGTAAGTATTTTCAGTTTCAAGAATAAGGATACTATATTGTGGCATAGAAAAGGTTTATTTAATACATTTGTTTTACATTCAGTGTGATTTTATTATATTGGTCATGAGAAGATATATATATATATATGTATTCATATATATATTAATATATGTGTGATTTTATTATGTTGGCTATGAGAAGATATATATTAATATGTATATTAATATATATATATTTGTGTGATTTTATTATATTGAATATTTGTTGTCTTTCTGTGACAGTGGAGCAGCAGTATTTTCAAAGAAATATAGTCACTCACCAAGAAATAGAAAAATATTGCTTGTACAAAGGAAAAGAATTTGATGAGGGGTGAGAATGGGAAACATAGCTCTGTAATTTTCACCTTAGTTCTGAAAAGTAGCAGTCCAGTATCTTAAGCAGTTCATTTCATTTTTTCTACAGTTTTGTCTCCAGTGTCAGACATTAAAATATGATCCTATATATGCAGTAATGTATTCCTTTGAAAATGAAAGGCCGACCTGTCTCCTTCAGCAGTTCCCTTTAGTTTAGACATTCTCTATAATGTACATTCAGAAAAAATGTCTTGCATTATCATATTACATAATACACATATGTGCATCTCAGTTGATAAAACATTTTGGAGTTATCAACACCCTTCCATAGCCGAACTGGTGATAACTAATTTCTGTGAAAGCAATTTGATTGACTCCAAAATGTTTAAGTTGGCCTTTTGACACGAGAATTACCTGGGATTTACCTGTTAAGTATCCAAAATGAAGACTTAGATTGTGATCAATAAAGTGGAGTCCTGTCTTTGGAACTCACTTCCAGCCTCAGTTTTCTCTGGCTGCAGTCACTATATACTGCTTGTTTAGAGCACGGTTGTCAGCAGTGAGTCCGCTTTCTACCACCCTGTTCCCGCCCCTTCTGGCATTTCCTCCACTTGTACCCCTCTCTTCCTGTCACACACCTCTCCACGTAGTATCGTTACTAGAATCCTGTTCGCAGTTAGAACAGCCTTTATTCATTAAAATATCCTAAAGAGCTTAGATTTCGTTAGACATCAGAGGCACTTTTCAAATAAAAATAAATAACGAGAATATATTTTGTCCCTTCTCTTTCAGCTTTTCCCTTTCTAGACCAAGCAAAAGAAGCATCACTTGAATTTTCTTTGGTATAGTGAGATGCATATTTATTATCATGAAAAAATACAAAAGGAGAGGCAAAAAGTAATAGAGATTTGGGTATACTTTTGCTCCAAGTTCTTTCGTGCCGTGTATCTCTACTATTGGAAATAAGTTTGTTTCTTGTTATTTATAGAATAATTTCTTGCAATAAAGTGTTCCTGAAACTATACGATGAAGAGAAATGATACCTAAATTATTTTCTAAATAGACATAGTTTTACAGATTCCAAAAGTAACCAGTGTATTTCAGAAAATGGTCAATCATACAAAACATAAAAACAAAAATAAATTATTTTCTAATAGATTTTGATACAATCAGATATTCCTTTTGTATTTTATTAAAACTACTTGACTTAACCTTCCTTTCTTTCCATAGCTAAATTTTACTTTTCTCCTTATTATGAAGTATGGAATTCACAATGAATATCTTATGGAAATCAGTGACATGTATGGAAACAAAATTATGTTTTATTTTTTCAGTCTTTAAATTTTGGTGGTGCATGTTCATTTAAAAATTACCTACAAGGGCTGGGGATTTAGCTCAGTGTTTCCACCACCTGCCTCGCAAGCACAAGAGCCTCAGTTCGATCCCCCATACCCTCAAAAAAAGGTAAAAATTACCTACAAATCTTTTCTGCATATGTACATGTAGTTGACACCTGGATAAAACTCCTCAGAAGAGATTGTGTCATGTTATTTATTTCTTAAATGTACAGAGAGCATGTTTTCTCCACTTTAAGAAAGAATTCCAAGGCATCAAGTTTTTAAAATTTCACCCACCAGATATTTCAGGAACAGCCAGTTTGAATTATATTACATGACAAAGTGCCCTGAACAAATGAAGTGTTCATTTACTGAAAATATGGGACATTTTCCTTCTATTGTTTTTAGAGTAATACATGGCCATGCTACTTAAGCAACAAATTAAAAGGCTTAAAAGCATATTTATAAGATTATTGTACCAAGTAGATAGAATATGAAATATGGCTAAGTTTAGACCCATTTGTTGCCATGCATAATTGTTGCTGTGCCATGTAGAGATTAGACATAAATGGAAAGCAATTTACATAAATGACTGGAACTGCATTGTAGTCTGTTTTTTTCTTTTATCTATCTTTGGCCTTAACCTTATATACCATACCAGTTCAACTTCAAACACTTCATCTTCTTTTCTACTGGCTCCTTGCCTCTGAGATTTCCCAGAATTCACCATTGCAATATTGAAAGGCAAGGACCCTGTTCTCAAGCCCCATGCCGGGAGTCTCTGAAATGACCTTCTGACCACACACTCCAGTCACGGATGCATCCTTGAAGACTTTCTGATTACTGTTCTCAATCTCCTTCTTTTCCCTCCAAACGTAAAAAAATTTCCAAGTTGCAAAACTGATGGATTACAGTGACCAATCGACTACTGAGTAGAAGGGGTGAGCTCTGCCCCAAGAAGGGAAAAGTGAAGGTAAATGTAATTCTGCACGCCAGTATCATTCTTCACGCACCCAGACACTAACACACCTTCTTCTTGAGGGCCTCTACTGTATTTCTGTATGTACTTTTAAGTTTTTGCCTAATAGATACCTTTATCTCTCTTAAGCAGTAGAAACATTTTATTATGCCAGCTGCAAAGATTCAAGAGCATTGTGAATAAATTCCAGCAATATAGCAAAGGGTAGCATGGTTAACTCCCTGTCTTGCAAAGAAATGGCGGTTGAAATTAAGACCTCCTGATTTGGGACCAGGCTTAAATGGAAAATGTTCTCATATTTAATGTATTTTGGATAAGACTTAAGAAAATTGCTAATAAAAGAAAGAGAAAGAAAGAAAGAAAGAAAGACAGACAGACAGACAGACAGAAAGAAAAGAAAGAAAGAAAGAAATTTTGTGATCCTTTTCTCAAGTGCTGGGAAAATTTTGTCCTTTCAGTTCCCTCACTTCATTGAGATTCAGACACAAAATCAGTCAATCTATCCATTTATCTATTATCTATCTATCTATCTATCTATCTATCTATCTATCTATCTATCTATCATTAGAAATATATGGAAAACACCTAAAGCTTTAACCTAAAGCTTCTGTAGATCATATGGTGAATAGTCAACATGTTTTAGTGTTTCTGTGTATTCTGTTTTAGAGTATACAGTATGAATCAGGGATTTGTGATAAAATTTAGGTAAAAGGACTGTAGACCAACATAATACTAAATATGACTGAACCATCTATGAAGCAAGAAATTGCATGATCATAGAAATTATTTAAAATATCTTGAATGTCAGACATGTTCAAAGAGCTAATTATTCAAAGAATTTTTCAACCTATTTCCTTCACAGTGATCTCCTATATCCATTATAAATAAAACTTGATAGATTATTTAAAGAGAAATAACCACCATTGTGCATTTTCAAGGGAAAAAATAATTGAGTAGCGTTATGTAAAATGATGATGATAATGATGACTGTCATTAAAATTAAGATTACCTGAAAATAATAAATTAGTGTAAAATGTCTGATAATAAATAAATCAGTTAAACTCATTTCTTAAACACATCCTCAGACACTACCTCGTTTATACATACATATACACAACTATATGTAGAAATATGTCCAAATTCTATGTCGCATACCCTTGATAGCAGCTTCTGTTTTACTGGGAATTTTTTAGACTGTTGATACCCTGCTGGTAAGTATTGCAATAACATATTTTGAAGTGATAATTCAAAAAGGTGATTAGTATTGGAGGTAAAAATGAGATAAAAAGCATAGTAAAATAGTAAGTACATTGTAAGAGTCTAAGTGCTCAGATTGTAAGTCTGACTTTTCTTAAGTACAAGCTGTGTGATTTTTAGATACAATCCTTTAATCTCTCTGAATCTATTTTCTCACCTCTCAAATGAAGAAATAATATCTTCATAGTCAACTATGTAACACTGGAAGGTTAAATATGACTGTGATGTAAAGAACTCTTCGAGAGGCATTTGTTCGGTGCGTTAATTTAGTTAACAAAAGTTTCTATGTGTCAGTTAGGCATGATTCTGGGTAACAGTAATTTAATGATGTATAAAAGTGCAAAGCCCCTACTTCGTAGCGCACCTCACATATTGTGTCAGGAAAACATATTTTAGATACATTAGATAACTAGGCAGATAGGTATAGAGATATAAGTAGTCATAATTTCATAACAGTTATTTA